CGCAGAATATTCTGTATAGAGAATTTTAATTTGGAACTTGTTTGATATGATTCTCTGCTACGGTGTGATAGTTCCGGTGAAGAGAGACCTTCGGAAACGGAATCTGATATGCTATCCATCTAAATAATAGAACGATTTGATAACGCATTATCACATAGTATTTAACTGGTCTTGTCGAGTATGCGTTTAATTACCATTACTTTAACTAGTTCATTTCAAGTTTTTTTGTGATCTCCATATTTGTAGGCAATAAATAGTTTTATTTGATAATATTTGCATACTTGATCATTGCAACATAAAATTCTAATTCTTTTCATCTTCCTATCCATGCAAACATGAAGTATGCAAATTTATAAAAAAGAACCTCAACATTGAAGGGAAGAAAGTTTTATTTGTTTGCAAATTTAGCGGTAAAGTGAGGGTTTTTGTTGTTGACAAAAATTTTCTTCCTTTTTTTCTTTTTTTTGCCAGCCTTCAATGATGAACTATTGCAACCGCCATCGTTATTTCGGATCAAAAGTTGATGTTTATCTGAATTTGTATACTAATTTCGGCATTTTTTTCATGATTCGCTTTGAAAAATTTAGAAATAATGACGCAAACAATTTGTAATTTAATTTGAGCAGAACACAACAAATATGAAAGCTAGCAAGACATTTGTTAGTTATCAGCTGAAAGGATATAAATTTCAATAACATAAAATTTGTTATTTATTACAATCTCAACTTAAATGTTACTGTAATGATAATTACAGTAATATTAAAAACCTCAAACTGAAAATTACTTAATTACAATCTTTCTGTGCCATCAATTTGATAGACCAAAGTATGACTTTAGTCAACTGCAGCTTATTTTTAATTTTTTTAATATATCAGTTTTATAAAGAATGACTTATCATTTTATGTGGAAAAAATTCTGCGATCGAAATAATATTTTTCATCTACAAGCTGGGCTCAACAAAATGGCCTAGTGTATGGTCATCAACTACTATATCTTACTAAACTTATAATATCTGAGTGGGGGAGAGCAAAAGTTTCTTAATTCTTTTTTCTCATTCCTTTGTTAAAAAGGTACTCTTTTCTTCTCATGCATTCCTAATACCAAAACATAAACTTAAAGATTGCTTTTCAGGAACACCGCATTTTCAAAGTATCCATTTAGGAGACAATATATGTGACGAATTTAACCATAACAGTAGCAATAAAAAAACTAAACAATGAAAATAAAATGAAGAAAATATCATCTATTCTAATGATAATAAAATTAACAAATAACATAACAAAATGATAGTGATGCTGGTGATAACTATAACGATAATAATTACGATAACGACAATGATAATAATTCAATGAGTGACAGAATGAAATAGATAGAACAGTGATAGAATGAAGGCGAAAGGAATCGAGGTTGTTGTTTGGAAATTGTTAATTCAGTAATTTAGAAGAGCAATAGACGCAGCATCTCATTGTCACTTCGATCCTTTCGTCCTCCTTCACCCATTATCAATCTCATGGAAATTTGTCGTCACGCCTATTTCACTTCTCTCAACTGTCCTACCGTATTCCATACATCCACATAGCTTCCTATTCTCATGCTAAATTCTAAATTTATTGGTTTATTTCTCAAAAAGCCCCGCCTCCCATTAAAGCTTCATCAATTGTCATTTATCATTGATGAAATGTGATGAAGGGAACAATAAGCTTCAATATTGTCTCCTTAATGAATAGCTAATGCATCATTTTAGCATAGCTTTCATTGAGATCAATTAAGTTAATTAAGTTACATTTTGATGGATTTACAGAGCCTTCCATTCCATATTACCCATCTATATTACCTGTATACTTTATTTCACTCTCCAAGCAATAATGCTACTTTCAAAATATTCTCAGAAAAAAAAGGAAGTCTTATCTTTCAAGATGACAATAAATTCATTTCTTATTTCAGCAATTATCAAAATAAACTGATACGAACGAGAAAAGTAATTGAATGATGCCTTCTCCCTCTCTATATCATTCATTCAACCGCAAAGAGTTCTTACACGAACTAATTTAGCGCAATTTTAGAAAGCAATTAATTTATTCACTTTGCTGATCTTGTCTGCATCATCTACGTACACTCTCCAGTACACACACACACATATGTATGTATATCATTTCGAATATATAAAGATCAAAGCAATGATGCTTCATTTCGGCTTTTTCCTTTTCTAGTAAATAGACAACTGAAGCTTTATATTCACTTTCCATTATTTCTTCCTATTATCTATAATTGAGATAATTATTTGCTTCAATACATAACGGCGACAATTATCGAGTAAAATTGCCCGGATTGCGCATAAATTAATGCGATTAAAGAAAGATTATTTGTTACAATTAGGGCAAAATGATTGCATTCAAATAGCTGAACCAAAATATTTGAAAACTGAAAATAATTTGGTCTTCTAAAAATTTTTCATCTTTTTTCATGCTGTTTTTTCTTTTTTGTGAGGGAATATATACTCTTAACGAGATAATGCAATACAGATGTGACTTGTGCTAATATCACACTATTTCTTCATATCATGCCCATTGTGATCTCTGATTATTCCATTTTCTAATCACTTGAAGCAGAATTTAATAAGAAAAAAAAAACCAAGAAAAACAATTGCAGAGAATAATTGAAAATAAAGAGAGAAATTCCTCTTCAGCACATAATTTTTTAAATTAATTAATGTTCGCGAATTTGTAATTAAAAATTTGGTGGACTCTCTTTTCATCATGAATTCTCACAACTTTATAAAAATTGAAACACTATCGACTGTGGAAAGTATAATTGTTTGTGTAGATAAATTCAAGTTTCGTCACTTTTATTTCAATTAAATAATTTTTTGGTATACATTATAGAAAGAGATAAGAGAAAAAAGAGAAGTAGTGAAGAGATGATGTCGAAAGTTGTTTGCTTTCTTATTTGATCATCATTATCATCATCTCTATCCTTATTATTACTCTAATTCTACTGTTATCATATTGTATTGGTATTATCATCATTGATAACATATCATTATTCTATCATTATAATCGTTGCTGCACCATTATCATATCAAAAGGTATGATCATCGTCGTCAGTATTTTGATTGTTATCACTACCACCGACATGATTGTCAAATGTTGCTGTTGTTGGATTTTATCAAATAATTTCATCAGTTTTGTTGCCGAAACGTGTAACTTCTTCATTCGACAACATTTTTAACTGCATAACTGACGGACATATGCAATTGAATTTAGAAGACCATAATTTTGCAATTTGAAAAAAAAACTTTCAAAAGTTTATTTGTGCATAATATTATACGGAATTTCCAGAAAGATAAGAGAAGGAACATGCGGTGGATTCAGAAAGAAAACATTGTGTGAGAGAGAGAATTCATTTCTATCAGAAGTTTTAGGATCTGTAAAAATACCATACACGAATTCTTTTTGGTAGCATGAATACTATGTGAATTTGATGAGTCTGCAAATGAAATGGAATTAGGTTTAAATTTATTTTCATCTTCATAATGAAATTTTAGTCGATCTTTGACTCCATAACTGCTGCTTGTTGAAAATTATTGCCTTTGTAAATAATTTCTTTCATTTCAGTTTTAGAAAATAAAAAAGTAGTACTTTAACAAATAAAAGCTAAAATTTCAAATTATCCTTAAGGCAACTGTTAATTTCGTTTTACGTAGGATTTGATTAGTTCGCATTTATAAAAAGTTGGTGTTTCCAATTTTAAACTTCTCAATGCAGCTGCGAAATAAATTGTAATTTCGCTGAATCAAATTAAAATTGTAACTTTCAAATCAATACAATAAGGAATATTTACATTATTCATCAATTGTCCAGAAATGATTTTTGTGACATCTTGTCAGTTAGCATTTGCGATTATATTGCGATTGATCAGATGAGAAACTGAACTGTGAAATTAATTTGAATATCGGATTAATGCTTGTCTATTATTTAAAATAACTATACTAAGTGAATGAATTTGCAATTAGGGATGATTGTACGATGTTACAAAATCAATGTCATAAAAAAAATGAGAGGAGGCTAAGAGATTAGTGATGAAATTAATACTAAGAATTATAATGGTAATCACAGTCGTATTTCTTTTTTCTGTATAAATTGTGAAATGAATAATATTTTGGCCATATTTCTGCTAATACAGTATGAAATAATAAGAAAAGATTCAGTGCTACATGAAACATATTTAATAATTACCGATTTCTTTGAAGTGCAATAGATCGTATCATTTCAAAGAGTAAAAGTCATTAGTAATCGGTATTTGGCTGTAGAGGAAAACATTGACGGTAGTTGCAAAGCTGGGAAATTGCAAGGTGGAAAACATGAGAACTGAGTGAGACTCAAACAAATCAAAATTTGATAGATTACCTGCAGTGGTATTGACACACAAACTTACCGGACATAATGAAGGGAAAGCGAAGGCGGAATAAAAGCAGAAGGGAGGAGAGAATGAAAAAAGCGCCATAATTACTAGCAGTGCTATATTTTGCGGTTGATGCGAATACTGTCAGATAAGAAGCAGTCTAAAAAATCATCTATTTCTCTACTGATAGCTAATTCTTAACGCATTCCGTGAATCCATCCGAAATTTCCCATTTCATTGTTTATTTTCCTAATTTGGAAAGCTTTAAACAGCCGGACTATACTTGTACTTTCCCTTTGACTTTATTGATTATTTCCACCAGAATATTTACGTACAATCCAAACTTATAAACATACCAAAGTCCTAATCCTGCACTGACTTCATAGAAGTCAGTAGTGAATATCTTACCATCATATAATCGACCCGGTGGTCTGTTTTCTACAACTAGAAGCTTCAGCTAATGTAAATATCAAATGCCTATGAAATAAAGCGAATTGAAACCTTTATTGCAAGAGGTAAAATACAAACAATATAACTGCAGTACAATAGTATTATAAAGCAATACAATAAAGTCAATGAATATTCCAGACTTGTTTATGTTATTTCACTTTTCGTCGCTTTCGTTGACTTTTTACCATATCTGTTCTAATCTTTCTCGTCACGAGAATTTCCGTTACTTTCTTGGACTTGGCTTTCTGTATCATCCGACTGCTCTTCACTTGACTTTCTGTATCATCTGATTTTATGCTTATTTCATCCTTCATTGGCATGATTTGCTGAAAAGAAAAGAAATTAACGAAAAATTCATCTCAGCAAAACAATTATCTAAACCTTGTTCGTTACTTTTTCTACTTTTTTGTTCGAAATAATATTCACTTCAGTTAAAAATTTTTTTCAGTAAGTTGTTGTAGTTCTACAAGAACATTACTGCCAAAAGATTCCTAATAGCAAAACAGATTCATCACCATAGTGATAGCGTACATTTTTAAAACTTAAAATTTCAGAAGGACACTACTGTTAAAGGACCTTTAGTAGCAAAGCATACAGTAATTTTTTTGCCTGGTACTGGCTTCAAATAATTGGCATCTTAGCTGGAACACATTAAATCTCACACTTTTTAAAAATTTCCTCCGATGAAATTATTAAATATAATGAATTAAAGTCCATCAGTGCATATGAATTATGAGCATATTATAAATATGAAAGTAAAGAATTAACATAAAAATCATACGAAAATACCTTCGTTTCCGACAGTCCAACAATAGGTGGTAATTGATAACCTAGTTCAGCAAATTTATTTCTTCTAATCTTCATTTTCTTCAGCAATCGTTTCTAAAACACACGAAAAAGGAAGAATTTAATTTTTTTCATTCCCTTTGATTTTGTAATGGAGTTCTAACCCCTACATTATGCTTCTGTTATGAGGATATCATAAATTCTGAAAATGAAGCATACTTCCGCCATTTCTTCGCACCATCCACTTTGCATCTTATTTAGTTTCTTCGCATGACGCTTCCTACTAGCATATTTTAGCGGCGGCGAAATTATTCGCGGTCCTTTACATAAACAAGGCGGAAAATTCTTATTTTTTATTATTTTGCCTGAAATGAGGACCTTCATATCTACGAAAATTCAATAAAGATAAGTCTTTTACTTAACAGAAATAATCTATGTTACATAAGCGTTAGAAAAAACCCACATTCCAATCGTTTTTCGAACATTAGATAACCGTCCATAGCTTCAGCGGCTAACTGTGCTACCTCAGAATCTGTAAAAAGTACAAAAGCCCATCCTTTGTGATTTCCGGTCTGAAAATAAAACACTGTCAACAGTAGTAAGTGTATTATATAAAAGCCAGACAAATAAGTTTATGTTAAATCACGAAATAATTCTACGGCGCGTATTTTGATAAGATGTGAGCGGTATCAAAGTTGTTAGAGATCAAAATTTATATCTTAATTCATAAAAAGCAAGATGTGATGAAATTGAACAAGTTTCCAACTTTGACGGGTCAGAAAACTTTGTAATTTATCTGACAAGTCCCCACTTACCATTGTGATATTTTCTATGCTCATAAACTAATTTTATGCTTGAATTACTCAAAGACAGCAGATATAGGTAATTTCATTATTTAAACTATATTAGTCACTTTACTGAATTAAAGAGCAAAAAAATAAGAGGAAGGTTCTTCCAAAAAGATGAATAAAAAATTAACCAATCATAGTTCTTTTAAATATTTCAAATATTCCTGACAGTATTACATTCATTTCATCTGCCAAATATTATTTGGTATACGTTTTCATACTTCCTATTTTATTTGCAAGTATTGATAATAAATCTTTTTGAAAGCTGTAAGCCCATATAAATCTCGGAATCTCTTTCACTTACTTTCAAGTATCTGCATCTCGACTTTTAAGGATGGAAGATATATTCAGCTGGTTATAATCTTTTGATCTCGCATTGAAAAACAAAAAATTTAACAAATATACTAAGTATTTCTGTAAGGAGAACATCAAATCAAAATTTTTAAGTTGCGAAGAATGAACATGCCTTTTTGTTTCTTGGAAGTCGCACTCGCCGAACAGCACCGAATTGTAAGAAATATTTCAATAATTCCTTCTCAAAAAATCCAAAGGGAATGTGTTTAATAAGTATAGCCTTTGAATTGTCTTCCGGATCAATTCCTGATTTACAAGGAAGCACCTTTATTTTCGAGTTTTTGATTTCTTTCCTCTCAGTCATATTCCTCAAAACTCTGAAAAAAAGAAAAACGGAAATCCCAATAAATACATGGCATCACATACCAATTTTATGCCATTAACATCTAAGAGGTTTGAATCAGGCAAAGTTATTCAACAAGTGCTTTTGTCGTGTTAAGGAATTTCTATTATGTATTAAAATAACATATTCTCCCTAAATATATTTAACTCCAGTGGACTGTTTTCGAAAAAATTTCTCATATTTTGGCGAAATAATTCTGTTCCTTAGCTAAATGTAGCCCAAAATTCACTGCAAAATTGATATGCATGAACATCAATTTTTCAAAATTAAATTTAACGTCAATGTACGTTTGAACCAGCACAAAAAACTGATTTCCCAAAATAAATTTTATTTACAATATTCAAAAGACATGTGGAAAATAAAAAAGTTATCACCGAAAGGCACTGATATTACCGGCACCAAGTGATCAAAAAAATATGGAAAAATAAGTTAATAATTGAAATATAGATGATAAAATCGTATTTCTAACGATATGACATAAATTGCATGAAATTATAGGAGTAATAAAAATTTAAAACTTATAATGATCTAAACCTATTTGTTGAGCGAATAGTCCTAATACAAGAGCTAAAAAACAACATAAACTTGTTTAAAAATTTAAACGACTACGTCTTTTTCTTTGGTGTATGTTCATTCAACACTAATTGGAGTCATAAGAGAAGAGAATTTGTGATGAAAATAACCACATTGTCCATCGAGCATATATAAAGTTTTAGTTTTCAATGCTGCAGCACTAGTTGAGTTTTAGACCCAAAGTACCCACAGTATAAACACACTACTCTATAAAATCATAAGTTCATAAGTTCGGAAAATAGGCCTAAACATTTAAAAAATTTGCATTAATTACGATAGAGGAAAAGGCATTATGAGAAAAGAAAATAAAGAAACTGATAAGTTTTTTGTGCGGGACAAAATTTAGTATTATTCTAGTTACCCGAAATGCAGATAAATTTCACTTGGTGAACCATTCGAAATAAACAAAAATCAAGGGTTGAACAAAAAGTACGATCTCTAACAATAAACCAAATATTCCCTTACAATAGGAAATAAACAATTCGAAACTGTTCAAAGGTTCAAAACTGAAGACTAGAATAAAGTCAATGATAAAGTGTTGTAGCTAAAAAGCCAAACTGAAGCCCAACCAGTTTTCAATTCATCAGAAAGTTATTTTAGAAATAAAACCAAAGGTTCATGTTAAGACACAGAAACATAGAAAAGTAACCACTATTTTTATAGCGGATATTAAATGAAAAACACTGACTCAATGAAAACTAAAACACTCACGCGATTCTAGAAAGAATCATGTAGAGTTCTTTTGAAATTCTGTTTAGGAGACCACAAGTTTATGATGAGAATCGATCAAAGTGATAGCATTTGCTACTATCCATTACAGTGATCAAATAAATTCAGCAGAAATTCAAAAAATATTCTTTCTCCAAAGAGGTTTTTGACTGAACACGGTTACCTGGTTCCATGTTAACAGATAAAAATATGGACAGCGAAAAGAGAAACAGGAATTTTTGCTGAATTTATATATTATTTTATTTTTTAACCGTTATATCATGTAATATCCATCTATTTATCATCTTTGATAAATCCATCAAAAAAAATTATATCCGAGATAGAAGTTTCTAGATTTCTCCATATTTCTTTTTTTTATTTCGACGGTTAAATTAAATTTTGAAATTGAATGCGAAAGGAACTGCACAACAAAAACATTTCACGAACCTTGTGGAAAATGTAGGCAAATGAGAGATTGAGAGAGCAAGAAAAATCACAAACAGAAGTTTTGTAAGACAGAAATCGCATATGAAACTTTTAGATAATTTCGATTCTGTGAAACAAGGCAGGGAAGAAATAAAAGTGTTCTTCTTTTCTAATGAAATCGTTATCCTACCATTTTCCAAAACAGAATCCATTTTTTTTTGTTTCAGAGATTATATACATAAAGCAATAGAGATTAGTAAAAAAAATCTGCCACTGAGGACAAGAAAAAACCTTTGGAATAGCATAAAAAGATCACAGTAGTCATGTGCGAAGAACAGAAGAGAACTTTGAAAAGAATCAAACCAGCAGAATTAAATTTTTGACGCTTTGTGAAATAGACTCCCAAATTTCGACTTTCTGTTATTACTAGTTGTTGAAACATCGGTGGAGTTTTTTCCCTTAATCATCTCAAATCCATTTAATTTGCTATTCGATGACGGGGATCTGAATATTACATTTGATACATTTCGTTTCAATAACTTTAAATCTTGCTTGAACCTGAAATAAACATACCATTATTTAAAAAAAATCAAGTTTTTGAGAAAAGTAGTTATCGTAGCATGCAGTAAGGACTCAAACTAAAATAGTGATAAGAAATACAAAAACATATTCAACAGACGAAAAACAACAAAAAAAAATTGAAATAAACTTATTATTCAAGTTCAGTGTTATTTAGGTAAATGATGTTAACTTGCTTTTAAACCCATTTTGATTACGACTCATCCATCAGTTGTTAAGATGCACGCTCCAAAAGTGCAATAATTATGACTATTTTCTACAAGAATTATATAACAAATAATGAAAGCATGAAAAATAAAAAAGGAACCATACGGTAAAAAGCGATTGACAGTTGCTGTTGGAGACGAAGAAGTGGGAGCAATTACTTTATTAACTGTTGAAGCTGAGGATGAAAACTCAGCATCAGTAATAGCTCCCATAAGAGAACCAACGCTTTGTTTTCGGGATTTCTGCATTTCGGCAACAGATCCAAGATGCCGAGGTTTGCTAAATGATACAGCAGATATGGAATGCTGAAGTGGTTGATTGCTATCGGTCACAAATTTTAAAGGTCTTGAAGCACTGATATTGTCGTAAATGGGTTTTTGCAAATTTGAATAATCCGAATATCGAGCTCCCGCAGGTGTAAAACTTTCGTACGTACATGAGCAAATAGGTGGTGATGTTAGACCGCCAACATCCGAAGGAGCTTCGATTATAACAGGCGGACTATTTCCAGATGTAGAAGATGAAGCCATGCTTGCCGTCACTGTACCGCCAACTAAATCTAAACATGCTTGGTAACATAAACTAAACACGGCAAAATGTTAGTAAGACTCAGAATATAAGAGGGTTGGTGAAACAAAACAAAATAATGCTTTCTGAATTCTATGAACTTTAAGCGGATGACTATTTTCCTCATCAATAAATAATGGATCAAGTAAATATATATATACATATATAAAATGCAAAATTAGCAAAAATAAAACAAAAGCCATAAAATACATGTAAGCACAACATAAGACTTTTCTCCAAACCGGCAACAAAATGCTTTTGAGTCATAAACAAAAAAACCAAACTGAGTGAAAAATTTTTAGATGGAGAAGCAAAAGGGTAGCTTCAGCAAACAATAATTAATTAGGAATAATAGTAAAGTTCTTAAAATAAGAGCAAATCTAAGCATTTTATATTTGGCGGTAACCAACAGTGCAGCGAGAAATAAAAATTCTGAAAACTAGTTTAACAGTATGAATGCCCAGAATATGACTGACCCGATTTACGATAAAACGAACTGGAGGATCCGCTTCTTGGTAACACACTACTCGGCACTGTAGAAGGAAACATTATTTCTGCAAATGCAAAAAATGTATGGAAAAAAATTATAAAATAATCATAAATTAATCATAAATTTAAAAAAAAATCAGAAATAATCATAAATTTCAAAAAAAATATATTTTCAGAAAAAGAAATTTTAAAGCAATATCAAAATTAATTAAATACAAACAATCTGAAATTATCTAGGCAAAGGAGTTTTTTTTCGAAATCCAAATGTCGATCTGTATATTAAATAGATCAGAACATTACCAGCAGTAACTGATGTAGGAACCAACGGGAAACCACAAAGTGATTCAATTTCAATCCATCGCTGATGACATTCACTCATCGCCAATGAGATTTTCTCCATTCGGGCTCTTAATGAATACTAAATAGACACTGCATTTTTAAGCTGTCTGAGCCTCTAGGTCCAACAACTAGCTCTTAAGTTTTGCTTTTTGTCTTTTTATTGCTTGTCTCATTTTTTGCGGAAGTAAAAGCTGAAAATTACTTCAAAGTTGACAACAATATTAGCAAAAAAAGAAAAAAATTTCGCTAATGATTTCGTTCTATTCTCAAATGGTGGTTTATAAAGAAAAAGAATTTCATCTTTTTCATATTCATAACTCATTTAAAAATTTATACTTTAAAGCAAAAATGCGCGAATCGATGTGATCTGTTCCCGATGAAGCACCCGTAGCAAGTTTGATAGAGGAAACAATGCCTGATTGCTTTTTCCGAAGTTTATCGATATGTTCAATTGCTTCTCTCATCTCAGCAATACATTCCATCCGTTGCTGACCAACATAACTCACTTCTAATTCACAGGTCCTAAAATTCCGAGAGAAAACACTAAATAATAGTAAAATTGTTCTCGTCCAATTAAAAAAAAATTCAAACTTCCCTTGCTAGAAGTCACTACCTATTCACACTCTCATTTTGAAATGAAGCAACCTTAGAACAGTCAAGGCCTCAGTAAAAACTTTGTTCCGACCTCTTAAAGTAGGCTGTCTGTCTAACCTGACAAGTTGGCGCTTTAACTTTTTGCTGTAACTCCCTAGTTTAAATCCATTAAACGTCATGGGATGCTGAGAATTAATAAGATCATGAACGAGCTTTATAGAATCTTTAGTCAAAAGGATAAATTTCTGTATCAGGCCAAACTATATTTTATCCGGCTTTGTAAAGACTTTGCACAACACATTCATGCACACTCTAAATCAAGTCTTATCTCTCAAACCCATATCCTAACCTTAAGTAACTATTTTGATTCAGCATTGAACATTAACAACGAACCTTCTTAACAGTGGTTGCAAAGCAAGAGGAGCCGAACCAGAACTTTCCAATAAGCGCTCAGCTTCCATAAGTTGTGACTTCAACTGAAAGTATTAGTCAATAAACCTAATAGTAACTCAACAGCATAACAATTGAAAATCCAGTTTTCTAAAGAGAAATGACAGCCAATTTCTAAATAGAACATTTAAATTTGTTGCATAATTTGAAAAATAACCGATTCAACTTGTTCGCTTTCTGGCACACCTCGACTCGACTGTCTTTTTTTTTGTTCTTCCTCAAATCTAAACATATCAATTCAGAATTGCTTTCCTGCATGAGCAAAAAAATCGTTCGATTTAAACCGAGAGTTACAATGACTAAGAAAAGGCTCTTTACATTCATTTCATTCTGCTTCAGACTTTTCGTGCTTGACATAAACAATTGAGGATGAAGTATTACTTTTCAAGTTAATTTTAAAAATACTGCACAAAAAAATCACTTCTGCTGAACATCTTCAAAATGGCTTTGCATTGATTTCAGCTGTGATAATTTCGCCGTCAACTTCTCCATTTGCATATGGGATTGTGTTCGCTGTATTTTGAGAACAAGAAGCACCGTAACTAGTACAATTACTAAGACTGATAAAACGATGTCTTTAAACCGAGACGAATTACCGCCTGAAAAAACTTTCGACTTGTTTTTATTTCCCATTCACCTTCCGAAAAATTTCTTCGAAGTTACTAAAAAGGTGCGAAACAATCAACTAATTTTCTAAGTAGTAGTCTAAACCAATTAATTGTACCAATTCTAAATTTCGATGAAGATTTTCAAAAAACTAACCGCTAAAACCAAAAAGAACGACATCTAATGCCTTTAAACGCAATTTCTGCTTATGCACCGAATTCTTGATGCCCAAATCAGACGACAAATAGGTAGAATTAGCAACAGCCATTCTGAAAAAAATATCCAAAGTGAAATTTATTCGTGAAAATTTGACCACTGATTACTTTCCTAATTGGAAGGGAATACGTTTTCTTTTTAGTAACAACGATGCGGGCTTTAACATTCTTGAAAGAAGTTATGCAATTAGAGGTTTAGACTGACCAATACCATTAGACATCTTCATAATAATAAGATCGATTGATGTCAAAACAATGGAGATAGATGAATTAGCACTCGGACACAAAATATGTCAAATAAAGAAATTAATGAATACTCACAATAAGCCGACCTGGGTAAAGCACGACCGTCAATTTCCATTCCAATAAAAACAGATGAGTATTGCGGAAGGCGAACTGTATTTTCCAACCAATTCACCATATCAGCTGCTGTCCAGGAGCGCTCTTCAGATGCAAACCACGCCTCCCATAAATCATCCACTGTTATTAATTCATCGTGGTTATGATGGAAAGCACGTTCTCGCTTGGCCCTATCTAAACCTCCCAATTGCATATCTTCTTTCAAGAACTGAAAATTTACAGCATTATTAAAATGGTTTATTAGATACAAAACAAAAATTTCAAAAAGTGCGGAAAAAACAGGATGACTGTCTGAATCGTATTATAGAAAAGTTTGTATTCTTTTAAACTTGATAGTATGAATGAGTCCACACAAAGAAAAAAGAAATTATTGATGAAGCATGCTTACATCTGTTGATTCGAACCGATCAATGGAACCCGACTGATCGTCATCCATTTGATGATGTAACTGTGCTATAGCCTCGTACCCATCAGGATCGCGCAATTTTTCATCGTTTGCTGTTATTAAGACTTCTAAAAATGAGACAGATGACAAAACAACAGCGTGAGAGTAGTAGTAGACCTCATATAAAGTTAGTGTGGAATTATTTTCTTTTGCAGATCCATGGTCGCAGACTTTACCTTATTAAAAACTCTACTCAAAAAACATGCTATTTTGGACGAAAAACTAGCTTATTACAAAAAAAAGACATGACCATCATGTGAGTCAATGAGTCTGGTAAGTTGCCCATGTGTTCGTCATCAATTAAATAATTGAATTAAATTTTAAATGTGCAAGGAAAACTTAATTTTTGTCGCTTTCTGACAATGGTAGAGTGCTACGAAATTGATCAAAATGCCCAGAAGCCATCTAAATGACTGCACATCTGTCATCATATCTAAACTTTTTGAAATTTTCAAAAACCTGAAAATAAAAATTAATTTCAAGAGAAAAAAAAACAAGATTACGAACGTTATGACAGCATAGAGAAATGGATGTAAATGAAGTCAATCAGCCTTTAGCACTTACCTCTAGCACTTATTGATCCATGACTTTGAATAAAGGAATTTTTGGTGCTCCTGAAAAGATATTTCAATAAGTTAGCCAAAAATTCCGCACAGCCGTCATTTAATCTCTTATCTGATAAATATCAAAATGAATGAACATTAAGTTTGCCGTTGCTTAATCTTATCTGACTGCTTGATTACACAATGCTCACTCCCTTAACTGGAACTGTTGTCAACAATCACTTATTCTTTTAATTCTTCAATTGATCATCTACTCTTCCAGAAATTGCCCTTTGAGAGTTTTGGAAGATTACAAATAGCGGCGCTAACACTAATCAAAGTGTTCGTCTTCAGGCTCACCTCTCCACACCCAATGACCCAACAAAGAGACCGACCAACCCCACTATGACCCATGACCTTGTCTCATTCCAACAAAAAAATCATTAAAAAATGGCCCAACTCGATATAACATAAAGAGCGCTACGAAAAAACAAATCCTAAGGTTACGCAATGCTTCCTTGTGCTTTCAGCGTGATAGATGTTATTCATATTCCCGATAATTCCCTAATGTTAACTTAATTAATTAACAAATCTGATAAGAATTTCTGAACAATATTTCATTTTGCCGAGATTATAGACTATTTTTTTTACCGTGTTGAATTATAAAATGGCCAATTTAGACTATCTTATAACAAGCCTAAACTTAGCGGTAAACTCAGCTTCGTTCCGACAGATTTTCATCATTGATTGAACATCCGTTTCTTCGTTGAAAGTTTCAAATTACAAACCTTTAGAAAACACATCTAACCTAACATTATTTGCTATAAAAACTTAAAGCATGCCAACAGTTTTGTTGCGCTAGAATTAATAATAAATTCTAATTCCTGTCTAAAAATTAAATTTGTTAAAATAAATTGTTGCATAAATATAAATAAATTGAAATAATCTAAAAATTTCAAAATTTTCCACACATCATCCTAATTTGAAACGTTGCAGCCAATTAAGAAAGCTCTTTTATCTTGTCCATCAAAATTCTTTCTCATGTAGAATTATGTCCAACATATATGATCCAAATACCAGATGATTTTATCTTTTTCAATTTATTCAAATTCCAATTGATGAGAGCAACCACAGAGAAGATCGTATTTTCAAAAGCTTAATTATTCCTCTTAAAATTATAATGAATTTAATTCTTGGATAATGAAAAATAGATCAATGGAAGCTTTCCAAGCTGATGCAAACGAGAATATTCTACCTTTTCATCACTTATGTCACAAAACTTTTCCACTCTTCTCTTTCCTTTTCTCTTTACTGATACGTTTGATGTGGTAATGAAATGATTTAGTTTACAGTAATTTGTTTAAAATTTGATATTCATATCAATGAATTTTTAATTATTCTAATAAAGAGAATAACGATATTTTCATATCGATCTGATTTTTAGCAAAATGATTGGAAGCAATTGACGACCAATCCCGTGTTGATCATTGATCATAACTTTCCTATTATTACTATTCCTGAAAATGATAATAATTAAAATTTTTTTGTGAAAAGATTTCTCAAAAAATGTCAGTGCTGCTAATATAACCGATCTATCATTTAAATTATGATTTAAAATCAAAATTGCTTATAAAATTAATTCTGTTTTGCATATTCCTTTGCGCATTGTATGAACAGAAACAAAAAAAGAATTCCAGTTAATTGTAATTATAATAATTTCTTCTTTTTAAAAAAATTTCATAGCAAACAAGGTAATAACTTTTGAATCCAAAAAAATTATATTTAATTCAATTCATCTTCAGGCTATTCCATGTTTCAGCTTTTATTTCCTTATTTTATGCTCCCACCATTTTCGATTCCAAATATGGCCACTTGTTAAAGTTGACCTCTTCTGATTTAGCACAATTAAGAGAGGTCATACTTGCTTTTCAGACATTTCCAATCCCTTTAAATACAAACAATTTTGTTACGCCGTATTGTGCAACGTTCCCTGCTGAACTTCTCGATCGATAGAGTGCTGAGAAATGGGAAAAAAGAACTGATTGGACGAAAGGAGACGAGATGAGGCATCTCTCTCTCCCTCTCTCTCTCTCTCTTTCTTCGTAATGTTTCTCTTGAAGTATATACGTGGACTTCCTGATATCAATGCACATCTTTGATTGCTTAGAATTTGCTCCAAATTTAACTAAAATCATCTTATCACTGTGATACAAACAGTACGGCTTATCATTTATAATAGTTATCAGTGAATGAGCTCAGAAATAAATTAATAAGAATTGTGAATTTTGATAACTCTAATTTATTCCGAATATAATTCATCAACATTTCATATTCATTCATCTCTTCAAATGTTCAAATTCAAATTTATACAATCTGCAGGATTATTCTTCACTACAAATTTCTCTTAAAATTAATTAATTGTCATGTGAAAAGAAAAAAAAGTTATAAATTGCACTAATTAACTAATATTATGGAAGTTATGGGCAAGCTTATTTCATCTTTAATTAGTTCGCATTATTCATTACTAAATCGTTCGTTTATTAGCTTGACGAATATTTATTTCAAATTTTCGAAAAAAATTTTAATGGCATAAATGAAAACTTTCCAGTTACATATAGTAGGCGGGAATGATGATCGAGAAGACCTTCAATCGATTGATTAAAATCGGCAATCCATTTTATCAACCGGAAATTAAATCGTATTCTAATTCACTGATTGGAAACAGCACTATAACAAATAATTCTCATCAAAAAAAAAAAACGAAAACATTTGTCTTTTAAAATGCTCTAAATGTTATTATATCAATCAATATGATCGTCATTGTTGAATAAAATAATTACATGAAATTTGTGTAAAATGAAAATCATTTTTAAACTGTAATGATTAATTAGTATCATTAACAAATCGTTGTAAGAATTCACTTATTTATAATCGACTCAAACATATAAACTTTTCTCATGCAAAAAATTTCATCCATTTTAATTGTAGCCAAATATATAAAAATAAATTAATGGATAATTTAAAAGTAAATTAAATTAATCGATAATTTGGATGTGTTTAATGTTTGAAAATTCTCAATGTGAGTTTTGATTATTAATAAAATTATGGTTTAAATCAATCAGTTAAAATATTAAAATCGATTGCCGTTTACTAAAATTTTTCTTCTACCTTCCAGGCTCATTGTTTAGTATATTTTTTTTCTATCCAGTTTCAATATCAGTTTTTCAAACCATTTATGATCCAAATGGTACATACATTTTCTAGGAGCTTAATGATGGAACAATGATCTGAATATCGGTCAAAAATCAATTTTGTTATTGTCTAAAAAATTATTGTTGAAACAACAAACACATTAATGAAATATAAGAAGAATTAGATTTTCAACTGTAAATCATTCAAATTGTTATTTCTCAACAAAATTTAAAATTTAGGTTTTTCATCTTTGAAATAATAGAATTGGCCGATAGTTGTATTAATCGCCCGTTAGAAGTAAGCTTAAAATTTTAAAATGATTTCCGTTCAGTTATTCAATTTTATGTGTAATAAAATCGATTACCAGCATGAACTTATTTAGCTTGTATGACTCAAATCATTTTTTAAATAAATAAATGAATTTTCGATAAAATAAGCATTAGCAATGTTTTGGTCAACAATGCATTTTAAGGTGACAATACCGCCTATTTCTTTTTCGTATCACACGCAATTTTTCTTTTTCTAAATTACATTCAAAAAATTTTTTCAATATAATTTTACGATCACAAAAAGATATTTGCTAAAATGCAAATTTACTAATGATAGTACATTTATTTAGAATTTTATTTTTCAAAAATTTTATTTTTAATATTAAATTTCAAATTATTATGTTTTCCATCGATTTTGTCCAACGGTAAACAGCCGAATCCTCACAAATTAATTGAATATAATTATTTAAAAAATGAACTCAATTGGAACAAATCGGAAATCGAATTCAATTTTTGAGCAGATTTAAGTAATTTTCATTCTAATTTTGAAAGCAGATGAAATTGCAAGCAAAAATGTCGAACCTTTTCTCACTGATTCCATTTTAGCTGTTTTCATCATTTCATTCTTATTCAATATACATTATGTATTAAAATTTTAAGGATGGGATAAATCAAATTAATACACAAAATTTTTTTCACTCTCACAAAACATTTATAAACTCTCTCTCTCTCTCTTTCTCAACTGATGAAATTTTAAAAAAGAATTTTTTTATGTGTTAAATTTGACAACGAGTACCGTTGAAAAGATTTTTCAGAGCTGAAAACTTATTTAAGCTTAAAGTTCTTAATCTTCCAGTTCTAACTATATATATATTTATCTATTTTTGATTATTTTCTACTCATTTCTGATCCGACGAAGAAAGATAAGTAATTACTTTATATGAGAAGGGAAATAATTTTCTTTATTTGATTGTTATCATCCATTATTATTTTAAATTCTTTCTTTTTTTTGTTAGTCTTGAATAAGAATGACCAATCAAAATTATTGATGTCAGGTAGAAAATTTCAATGAAAGATTTTTTTGCTAATTAATTCTATTCCTGTTACTTTTATTTATTCTTACTAATAATTAATGAGAATAAAATGAAATGAAATTTTGTTAAAGGCGAGAGTCGTTGTGAGAATTAAAAATGTCAAATGATGACGAATGATGAAAGTAGGAAGTACGAATGATTTTCATAGATTATAATTTTACATAAAAGTAATGCATCTTTTGCGAAGTATGTATATAACAGCAATTGATTTCCAAATTGACTTTGTCTCGCCTGATCTCTGATCGTTCATTGTAAATAAATATAATGTTTGATCAAATATGCAGTAGTTTTTTTTTTTCATGATCTTTTTTGCCAAATTAATGTTTATGTTGATGATTATTATAAAAGGATTTCATATTAGCCTTTTTTTTTCAAAATAATTTATTCACATTTATGAAAATGATTACTTTTGCTATTTCATTTTAAATAAAAGCGTTATAAGTCGGCAATCTCTTTTGATAATATAAGTATGATAAGTAAATATTTTTGTTGCTTCTAAAAATGCGTTTTTTTCTGCTTATTGAAAAGGATGATTGATTGGCTAATAATAATGACATAGGGAAGCGCAGATGGATGGATAACAAACAGCGCCCCATTCAATCTTTTATTTACTCTTTCCTTTCCTCACTTTCGTTCTGCTTTCATTTAGTTTATGATAAGAATGCTTTAGCAACTTATTTGCATATATTTGTGGTAAAATGATGATAGATTACGATGCTTTCGTTGAAATTTAGTAAAATTTTATTCCACTATTTCATAATTTTTAATTCATCTTTGATTTACATATTGCGAAAGCATGAACGTCAATTTAATTAATAACATATAGCCTATAACTGAATGAAAATTGGAATTAAAGTAGGTAAAAAATTAGCTGAATAAAATACGTCAATTTACGTGTGAAATTATTAGTGCTCATTTTCTGCCATTGTTACCACTACGCGCGATAAGTTTATATCACCAATTTCATTATTTTGTTTCTGTTGCAAAAAAAGTATTAAACAGAGCAAATTTGTTTCAAATAGCTTTCATCAAAAATTATATTTTTGTCATCTCTGAATTTTTTTTTCACTTCAATTATTTGCTAATCAAATATTTTACTTCCAAAGACTTTTATTCAAACTTACTCGAAATTAATTTATAGTTGAACAAAATCGAGCAATCCAACTATTCATTATTTCTTTTTTTTAATTGATTGAATTAGCTTTATCGTTTTCTTTTTTAAAGCAAATCCCTCACCTATTTTATTGTACTGATTACTGTTATCTTATCTGTTAACATATTTAATATCGCATTTAATGCCCTTCCAGGATGGACAATCGAACAATTACACATTAAATCGATAAACCAATATCGAAATTAGTTTAGTAACTAATAATGACTTATCATTTAATTTTAATCAAATGAAAATTGTTCAAGAGTATTAACATGGAAGTAATGTGATGAATTGGAATGGATGAAAATTAAAGAGGAAATCTCTTTCCATTTCTGGAGAGGTGATACCGCCACTGCCCTCTCTCATACCATAAATCTTCCCGAGGATCATCCCCGCCCTCTTTCATCATAGTTGTAATCCTTCAACAACAGTGAAACGGTCGAGGATTGTTCCCTGCTCTCTTCTAAACTTCATTTCTGACCTTTGTTTCATTTTCTCTCCTATCAAGTTATTTGAGATAGCATCTCTTATTGATTTTTTATTTTTTCCCGAATGTTTTTCTATCCTCTGATATGAGAGTGACAAACTAGTTGATTTACAATGAAGGAATGATTGAAATATTCGATTAAGCGCCAACAATAATAAGCATTCGCCTACCTTATTTGATAAGTAAATGAAACAAAGAGAGCAGTAGATGAATACTCAGAAGTAAAATGTACATTAGAAAGATCTGAAAGAGCTAACAAAAGAATCCGATGATTAAAATTAAAATGGTACTTCAAGTCTTTAGCTTACTCCATCTTCATTGCCTGTGTTTTTTTTCTTGTAGCATACGAGTGCTGTTATGAAATTAGTATTTTAACCTAAAAGATTAATGCTCCGCAATGCTTAACTCAATTCCACTCTGACTGACCTTTTCTGTCGGACCATTTCATAAATTCATTGAGGTCAAACAACCAGAAGTGCTTGCGTCAAAGACACATACATAATTGCACTCTTCAGTGGACATAAGCGTTTACTTTCTATTTTACGTCTGACAATTTACAGCACCATACTCTAACATTTGACCCCACCCCTTCTCCTTTTATTCCTCCCCCTACTCGTACGTGTGACCTTTCCCAGGTTTGCCATCATATTTTAATGGTGGATATCGGAGAGTCAGATGGACAGGAAGAAGGAGAGAAGGAGAGCAGGTAAATGCGTTACCTGCGAGATAATATGTTGGCCTTTTAAGTGTACGCAGGGATATCTCTCCACGTGTCTGACAGCAGTGCTGGAGAGAGTGCAAGACAGAGAGACAGAGCAGGTGGGTAAGTGAGTGTGTTCATCGACCCTCTCTTGTATTTCTCTGTCTCTCTCACTTTCTCTTTCTGTCTCCGCTCTCAATCCTGTATACACACACATCTACCGATGCACTACAACAGGCCTATATTATGAAGAATCAATAGAGAGAGAGGGAGAGAGAGAGAGCAACTATCAGGTTTTTTGAGCTTGTTTGTTGCTGCTCTGGGAGTTGTCGTCTGTCGGCAGAGGATTTCATTTTTTAGGGTGGGGAGGGTTGGAAGACTTCTGGAAGGTGTGAGAACTCTGCAAAATATTTTTACACTGACCTTAAAAGCTAAATTTAATGATCGAATTACCTTTGCTTGCTGTAAAAGTATTAACGATCGATTAATTTAACCTTCTTATTAGTCAGTCAGTTGAAGTAAGGTGGATTGAATGGAAAGTGAAACTGTTGATTCAGGCAATCAGATTCCAAAGGCAATGGATGAGGAAGATTCAGAGCCAAGGATAGCAAGGATTCGTGAAAATCTTGTTAGTAAGTGATTATACTGATAAAATTATATAATTTTTAATTTTGCCATTTTATTATGAATATTCTATGTCTTCGATGCTTCTAAAAACTACCATACATATGTTTCGGAAGGGTATAATTAGGTAAAGTAAGCGGCATCAGGATTAGTTAGGAATATAAGTGAGGATTGGATATAACATTCAGATAACCTACTGAATTGTGATTTTGAAAACTTTATGCAAATTTTTATACTCACAAACAATACTGCAAAGCTTAGATGGTACTGATTTTTCTCGGCCTTAATGAAAATTTTTTTTTAGACGAGATATTTTTATGAATGCACTGAGAGATAATAAACTCATAGAAATATGTAACAGTAAGTTAATATCGCGGTTTTTTTTTTTTGCATTCCATTTCCTTCTCTGTGTTATAGGTCCCTAACCAATTTCCATCGTAAGAAATGTGCAAGGAAAAAATTTTAGCTTCGATCCAATTTAGATGAATAGGGCGTTTATTTTTGTAACTAATATTGTTGTCTGTTGCTGCAACAAAATTTCTATGTAAAGTGTTAAATTATTGAAGTTATTTGCTTCATTACTTCGGAAAGGCTTTGCTAATTTGTTTTATTCTTGAGTGTATTTTTTCTTATTTGTTCTTTCTCGCTACTTAAAATCATTACAAATCGGTCATTTTTGACAAGAAACTCAAATTTCACAAATTATCGGTTTATATAATTCTTTTTCCATGATTCACTGAGAAAGATCATCTTCGAAAAATGAATATCGACCAACATGTGGAAAAAGTACAACAATTCGAAAAGAAATGCAAAACTCAAATTTAGAAAAATTGATTTTGCAGATGGTCTTGGTCCATTTGATCTGATGGCTGATATTATTGTTGGCTCACAACATGGCCCAAATAATTCAGGTCTATTTGGTGTTGTTCAGTCACCGATTAGGCCATTACGTCCATCTTTTATGCCATCTTCATCGATATCATCAACATCAGAATCACAAATGACTGCTACTCAAATGGCACAGGTTATACATTTTTCTAATGCAAATTTCTTAAATCCGATGAATCTGATCAGTTAACTATAGTTCAACTATCGATTAAGCAATGTTTTGAGAGGTTTGCCTTGATCAATAATTATATTAAATATTAAAAGGTAAATTGAATTAATTTACATTAACTGGCAATATCTACTGAGTGGAAAATATTGATGTTTCTTTCTCTGAAAATTATTTGTTACAAAATTCTTTATGGAGTACGAGCATTTTATGTGACTTTCATCTTTGGTCACTTCAGCTATTAAAACAAGTCATGCACAATGAGCATCTTTTCTAGGCCAAAACGAAGAAAAAATGCTCCCTAGGCAAGATACTTTGAAAATTACTTTGTAAAAAGATTGATGATTGGATTATCATTTGTTTTCTTCAGAAGATGCAAAGTGTTATTGATGTGCCATTATCAACAATCCATACTAACCTTCCATTTAAAAAGGTTAGTTTATCAGTTTTTGATATTGCCACTCGGTTTTTCATCTCCTTTTTGTCACAGAAGAGTATCATATTTCTAAGTCTATACAATTACTTCTCTTTAAAGGATTGAAGAAACAAATTTAGTGAAAGGAAGAAGAATATCCGATTGCTTATAAGAAAGAAACATCAAATTTGTTTCTTCAATCAGTAGATATCTTATAAGTTTTTCTTTGTTTGGCTTTCCAAGTTGTAAAGCCACAATCTTTAATGCTAAATTGGTGTTTATTTCTGATGATGTTTTTTTGAACCCAGGTATCCAAAATACGGAGGTGAAGTGCTTTATCTTTCATTTATGGTATAGTTCAGTTATTTTATTTTTAATAATTGAGTGTTTCATCTGCGTTAAGCAAATGTGAATTTCAGAATCAAGAACGGAAAAATAATTCAGTAAGAGGTTCAGAAGCGGGTGCATCTTCTGCTAACTTCATAAATACTAGCACTGGTAAAGGCAGGCCCTTGACAGCTTCCGATCGCACCGATGATAGTTTATGTCGGAAAAGGAAAAGAAGAAGGTATTTTCAGTAAATTTATTATCCAGAACTCGATTTTTGTTCAGCATGTATTTTGCTTTCTATCGCTGAAGAATTTGAAGCTAAAATAGAAATTATATCGATTCGTAAAACAATGTTGTAGAAGTGATTGCAACAACATAGATACGGAAAATTGGCAGAAACCATGCACAAGCAACACAACAAAAGTGAGTATTTTGATTCAAACATGGAAAATTAAAACGAAAATTTGTTTAGAAAAACTTGTAAATGATATTTTTTATCATTATAAGTTTTTCTAAACAAACTTAGCAAGCAAAAAGCGAAGATATTGCTGCTATCAATAAGGGCATAGTTGTACTTTGATTGATTTTATTGGACGACTTTGGTCTGAAAAGAATTTGGATAATTAAAACTCAGATGAATATAATAAACTCAAACTCTTCCAGCTTGCTTAATTTTTCTATTCTTTAGATAGAATGTGATGATAGCAGAATGACAATTAGTGAATTATTTGGTGAAGAAAAACTGGAAAATGGAAATGCAAAAAAGCGACCTATTGACATGTTGAAAAACGTAGAAAAAAAGATAGTTAAATGGGAAAAAGAAGAGCAGGAAAGTCCGGATTCTGGATTTGCCGATGAAGTAAGCGATCAAAATCGCGAACAATATCATCGACCGTAATTTTTTTCATACAAGATATTTTTTTTCATACTGATTTTTCTGCCTTTGGCACAAATAATATTCGAATGAGTTTCCTGAATTATGTCCATATGATCACAATTTGCTTAAGAACGAAATGTTCGGCTTCTTTATATCGTGAAGTATTTGATAGATAAGAGTTACTGGTTATCATGAGAAAGGGTGGGAAAGCTTTTTTAATAATATGCTCCTAGCAGAAGCAAAGTTTAGATAACTGAGAATGTTATGTTTCATTTTAATTTCAGGCGTTTGCAAACTATCATTGGCGAATTAGGTCATATTTCACCACTTTTAACTCCACCACGACAGCCACAAAAAAACGATGGTCCAACACTTCCAGTAATCATAAATCTTGACCGTTTAGATTCGGCACAGCTTCTGCGAATCAAGAATGTGTTTATTAAGAATGCTCCTGCTGTTAGTTTTCTCTCACTTCTGGTTATTTAATGTTAAAAACCTGACAATATATAACCTGTGAAGTTATTGTTGAATGATGCCAGTGGAATAAGTAGTCATAAAAAATAGCTTAAAGTGAAGAAGGTAGTTCATATTCTATCACAACAGGTAGATTTCTAGGTAAGAAATTGATAATAGTGAAATGAAGTGGCCCAGAGAGAGATAATAAAATAGGCATTTACAGAATGAATCGCAAATTATATGAATCAAAGATTTGATAATGTCTTAAATAAAATTTGGACCGTCGCGTTTGAAAATCTATGTAAAGTGTCATACAAATTTATTGTTATTATTACAGTTTTTGTCAACAGTCGCTCTGCCGAGTTATGTTTTATCACCTCCTGCGCGACCAACATCAAGAAACGAACGAGATGGAGCTTTACAATTGTACGATTCGGATTTTAAACCAGTCTCAAAAAGTACAGATAATAATAGTAACAGCACTGCCAACTTCAAAAAACAAATTATTCATAGCGCAGGTGCAACGCCATCGTCATCTTCTACGAAAGATTTCAAAAAGGTATGGAAATTCGAGGACAGAAAAACACATACCCTAGTAAATATAACATTTTTTCAATTCTGGAAAACTTTTACAGCCTGAATAGAAGATTGAGATTATTCTTTTTTCACAAAACTAGAATAGTTTTTTTTTCATACTTCAATTTTTATGCTTACAGCGACTAGTAAGACAGCCAATGAGTGAGCCATTTTAAATAATCAAACCTATATGTCACTTAGTTTTAGAATAATTAGCTGCAATCAATGAAAAAGAAAGATTGGATTTCCAAGCTTGTTCTAGTTTAGTTATTTTTAAAGAGGAAAGTTAACAACCAGGAATGATCCTAAGAATGAAGCACGAATAGAGTATTGGGATGTTACTTGAAGATTTAAGAATTCATACTTTGGAACTTGTGATCTAATCGAAGAAATAGGAATTTAGCTAATTTATCAACAATTTAAACAATTTCCGATAATTTTGGAGTCATGATAAATACCAAGGCAGAATGAGATTAAATTTGTTTATCATAAATCTTTACTAATCACAGCAAAGTATAATTTTTTTGCGGTTCACAGGATAGTATTGCAGTAGTGATTCACAAGCTGAATGAGGTCATTTTCCTTCAGTGACAGCTATTGATATCTTTTTAACATGGGAAAGTCAATTTTATAATATCGAAATCTGAATAGTTTGAAAAATCTAGAAGAAATTTGACTGAGTAATTTAATGTTCAACGGCAAGTAACCGTTTCGGAATAATTGAAATTTCAGAAATTTGTAAAACAGTGCGATAAAGCATACGTTACCTCATCTGCCACCTCTAGCATCAAGGAAAATGAAAAAAAGAGAAGAAAAGACAGCTCAGCTCCTCCGAATAGTAGCGGTGAACAACTGCCAAGCACTTCTAAATTGGAAGAAAAATCCGTTCAATTGAAATCTGTTTCACATGTTCCAAATGGTAAACCAGAAGGAAAATACAGGAAAGAAGGCTTGGATAGTGAGCATCCCAAAGAAAAAGAGAACTCCGCTACATCTCTCACGAAAGATTGTGACGGATTGAATGGTCAGCCTGGTGATGGTACCGCAACAACACAACTGCGCGATTTAAAAAAAAAGCAGGTGAACGACGCTGCTATAAGAAATGCTAGTAATAATAGCAGTGAAGTCGACAACATGCGCGTTAAAGTTGCGAAAACTTCGAAATGCAAAGATGGCGAGGCTCCACCAGCAAAGAAGTCTAAAAAAGATACGTGTTCAGGCAATAAATTTGTTGATGGAGTCCAGGTAACTGATTTTATTTATATTGTTGATTATTTAGCGGGGTGATAACGCTTTGTTGTATGGTAACATTAATAATTTTGTTTTGGGTGCATACAATAGAATAGTTTTATGTCGGCTTATGACATACTAAAACAGGAGCGAATGCACGATCATAGAGCTGAGGATTATGAATGGGGACATTGATTTTGAGCATCTAAATAAGTCATTAGTCTGGATTTTTTTCTACAGTGGATTTTCTACAGTTAGTTTTCTGGACATTTGTGTGTTGATGACCTTTTCAACTTGCAAATCTTTTTTGCATTTTTCAAATTGTTTTTCCTTAGCTCACCTTTTATTGGACTTTCTTTGAAAGCAACTTTTTAAGTATTAAATAAGTTTTAGGAAATTGGTGGTGATTTTATTTGCTGCAGAAGTCATACAATACCAACAAAGAAAACAGTATTAGAAAAGAATGACGATGGTACATATAAATGTGCTAATTATTATCTGGATGAAGTTGCCCGACCATTAAAACATAAAGCTGATAAAGAGGTAAATAAAGCTCATCGAATTTTGGTAATCTAGTTTATAAAGTTTATAATTTCTAGTTTATAAAGTTTTCCCATGTCTTGTATTTGTATTATCAATTTTTCCAATTATCAAATTATAAAAATCGGGAAATTTTCCAGAATGGTGATCATATACGAAAAACTCTCGCTTATATGGATGCCGCTGTATATTTTATACTTTCATCAGCTACAGAACGAGAAAACAGACAACGACAGTACACAATAGCGCGGGATAGCGCTGAATTGATGAAGTGGGTTTTGGATTTGAAGCATTCAACTTCTGAGGAATTTTCTCATAAATTAAAGTTTGTATGTTTATGACTTGAACCTTGTCTTCTCTGAACCCTGTCAACAATATTATTGTCGCACTTTTTGAATAAAACAACGGAGTGATCGAGGTACATTTGTTGAATTACAGATTCTTCAAATTGTCCCAATTTCTGTAGCTTGCGAACTCTGGTTACCGTTATAATTTTGATTTATTTCTTAATTAACCGATCAACTTTTTATGTTGTAACAAACATTATCTTCAGAACAATTATCAAATGGTCAGGTGCATCCGCATCTAGTCTATCATCGCTGGAGCGACATTTTATTAGTCGATTTAGAATATTATCATTTCGGGTACAAGCTGTGCTAAATTACTATCTCTATTCGCTCAAAATGGGAGTAAGTTCATTACTAGAACTCTAACATGTCATCAAGAGCCTTCATTTGGCTTAGCTTGCCTCGTTACTTATACTTTTAGTACTCATTTGTTTAGTTTCCTACTCATTATTGGTACATATAGAAAAATTGTTTCCGGTGCATTAGTGTGCATCATGGAATTTTGAAATGTTAAATGAGGCTCAGTACCTAAAACTATGTCATAAATGTGTTGATGAACATAGATTTATGAGTTTTAACATCGTTGGCAAATTTTTCTAATCGAATATTCGACTTCTATGCTTGCTAAATCAGTGAAAAAGTTCATAGAATTCCTGCTCATCATTTAAAAATCCAGAATTTCAAATATTTAGAGTTGTATGTCCAACTTTGGCGCATTGACAAAATGGGAACCGCAATTGACTGAATTGGACGCTGCAGCAATGCGCAACGATGGTGCTGCATCAGTCAGTTCACAGGGCGGTTCATCTGTCAATACAGAAACTCCTTCACCGGCTTCATCAACAAACAGTGGCCATGGTGAACGTCAAAAGGAAGTGAGTCCTTGTTCGAACATCAGCTTATCTCACGATAAATTATTGTGGATGCAAATAATTGGATAAGCATATGCAGCATAATTTCGAATTAAAAAGTAGTGTCTAGAAACTTTTAATGTACATTGAACTATGTTCACATGCTTTTTTTGAAAAAATTCGTTCCAGATCAACGTGCCAGTTTGTATTTATCAAGCTCATCGTTCGCAACTTAGCATTCTTCATCATTTGATGTGGTCTGATCGGTTATGGAAACAGACATCAACCAAAATGAACAGTCTTGAACAAGGTTAGCAATGCGACGTGAATTTGATGAAGTTTTTAGGACTTTAAGAAAATTTAATGACAAATCGTCAGGAATGATTTCAGTATACTAGAAATTTGAGATATCTCATTCTCAATTGCAGTACTTTCATGCAGACTCATATTCTACTTTTTTTAGTAAAAATGCTCGGTATTTTAAAATAAATTGACTAAGTAAATTAATATCATTTGGAATAAATTTAAAAAACGAGCACTAAGGTTGATTGTATTCATAATACGCCTGAATCAATTTTTAATCTTGATTTTTTCCGCAGATATGGTAAAACATTTGGACAAAATATGTGGACCATTGACTGTTGACTTCAGTTTACATTCATTATCAGAATACTTGGCGACAGCAGTAACATGGCTTCGTGCGGAATACCGTGCGGAAAAAGAACGATTATCACCATCATCATCATTTCCGCAACAGCTGTTGTAAACACAATTTTCAATCAGTACAAAGCTTATTTGTACAGGGTATTGTTTTCATGTGACTCTTGTAATTATTCTTTTTTTACCACATCATTTTTTGGTGTCTTGTGTGCTAAAATCTTCTCTCAAATAATTGGTGACAAGTTGACGAAAAATTATTTAAGTTTCACGACATGTTTAGAGAGATTTTGGAATGGGGTAACCAGTGAAAATTTTAAATTATTACTTCTATTGATTTATTATATACTTCAATTTTGGTCTTTGATTTTAATCTACCAGTCCAACAGTGCATTGGTTATTGGTTATTTTATTCACAAGTCTTTTCCATGAATTATTTTTGTATATAATTTTATTAAATTGCTTGTATATAATTTCCTTATCAAGAAAAGAACTTCTGGAAAATTATTCCATTTTATTTATATACTCTCTTTCAATCATTCGTAATTTTCCCAAACTTGAAAAAGAAAAATTGATGTGTGCAGATTTTGTGATGTACAGATCGTCTTAATGTATTTTTGACTAAATTATGGCTTTGATACATTTTTCCATGTTTGTACATGTTTTGATTTCATATTATTTTGGTGAAAAGTTAGGTTACTTGCGTCTTCGTTTGCTTGTTCTATAATTTAGAATTTTTAGTCCTGCACATGTGGCGATGGTTTATATTATGTATGTCTCAAAAGGTTTGTTCTTTATTTAAATGTTTCGGATTTAAATCTTATTCTTGTTTTAAAAGCACCGGGCAGCTGATTTTTATTTTTAATATTTAATTTTTGAAAGTTTGAATTTTCCATTTTTGTTAATGTGAATTATATATTATGTTTTGCATTCATGATTTTGAGATATTTTAGAGATATTTTCTTAACTAATTCTTTGAAAAAGTCATGTCGGAATTAATCATATGCCTCAAAAGTTTCTTGTAATAAGATTATTGGACCTCTGGAGAATCGGAAGTATGCCTTTATTTTCCGAACTTTTAGGCATAGGCTTTAATTATCACAGTTATTTGGATATTAGCTAGTAGATTATCGGGATTATTTTTCAGAAGAATAACCCCAGAAGCGGTATATTAATACTTGGTATATACAAAACTTGATGACTTGCATATTTACATATGAAATTTTAGTATTTCTTGATTTACCAAAGGTACTGATCATTCATGAACTGTATTGGTTTAGAAACTCATTTCCATCTCATTTTTTTGTGACATTTTGTAAATTATATCAAAATTTCATTCTGGGTATTGGTATTTTTCTTTGGGAACTTACTTCCTTTATTTAAATTGTTTCAGAGTCATTTGCTTTTTCCATTCCAAAATTTCGTCATTTTGTAGCCTTTTCTATTACAAATACAAATTCAAAATTTATTTGCTTTGCAGAAGCTTTCTGTAGGTGTAATCGAGTAATAAATTCAACTTCTTTTAATTGTAGAGCGAATGATTTGTGCTTGACTAGAGTAACTTCAAATAGATGAGTAATCTTTTATACAGTTGTGAATTTTTCTTTTCAAAAATTATACGTAACTTAAACCAGGATTATGGTTGTGAAGATTTTTTGACGGGTAATCAGTAGTATTTCTATGATATACTGCATGTTTGAGATGATTGGGTTATTTGAAATAGTTGTGTGTATTCCGAAGTATAATAAGAAACGATTTATTTTGTACTGGAACTTATCTATTTTTAATTGTCGTTTATTCTTTCTTTTTATGATAATGCCAACAATCGATAATATTTCGGTTTCGATAATACTTTTTTTTGACTACAATTGTTTGATCCGAAATGTCATGAACATATATCACCAGAACGCTTTTTTTTGCATTTAATGTTTTTCTAGCAATTGTTTTGGTCTTTGTATATTGATAAATTTCATAGTGTATATGAATGTTCACGTGCTTTCATTTGTTGTTTCTGTCGTATTTTTGAATATTTGAAGTTTACTTGGGAGGAATCCCTCATTCATTCTACTTTTTAGAACTGCCAGATTTTGGGAATTCGGTTGCCAGTGGGATGAATTTGCAATTTTCCTTCGGCTACGATATTATATCATTTCCCCCGTTTCTGGTCTACTTTGTGATATTGTAGTGCGGTTCGAAGTCATTCTTGTGATGATTCTTATTTTTCCTTTGCGATGATATTGTGCTAAATCCTATCTTGCTGTGCACCCAAATTTACCTTCTTAAGTACATTTTTAAATTCCCTTTAATTTATTTTCCTTCGTTTTTGAGTACTAACCAGAAAAATAATATATAAATTGTTTGAAGTGTTTATGTTTTATATTGTTTATAGTATTATTTCTGCGCCTTGCTGTCGCTCACCTCAATTGAATGTTTTGCTGGAATTTTTTTCTTCAAAATTTGATTAAACATGTTGAAGAGGCACTTTTTGAACTTTCGGTGTCAATAAGGCGCAAAACACTCCTTACGTTCGTTAAATTTTATACTTTTACACGTGTATTTCAAGTTTGTTTCGTTGTGCTTAAAGATAAATTTATAAAATCGGTTTGATTTGGTGTAAGTTGGGCGGCTGGAGATAAAGCATACTTTATTGCGTTTTCGCCTGCAATAAATCTGAAATTGAGTAGTAGACGGCATGTTGGCGTTGGGATTGGAGATTTGATTTCTTATAAGGGAATGTAAGTTAGGAAAGTTCCAGGATCAGGTAATTCATAAAGGAGTAAGCATTTCCTCATACGAAAGCTAGTGATATGCGGGGAAACTTTTGAATTACTTTAAAGATTCAGAGGCATAAGAATTTGAGAAATGAGAAAATAAAAAAGACAAGACAATATATATGTAGCAATGCTAATGTAACTTCCAATACATTAAAATATTAGTAATACGTATTCAATTCATTTATATGAAGTCATTGAGTAAATAACTACTTTGTTGAAAAATGTCTTAAAAGCCTGTTTCCTTTTGTCTGAGGTAAATTTTGAGGAAAAAATGGGTTTACATCTAAGAATTCTCCGCTCCATGAATCAAAGTTCCAGGATGAATGAATTAAAAAAATTATCAAATCTTCTGTCACCACTACAAGTATGACAAGTAATAGTGCTGCTCAATGAAACGGTTAATAAATAGGTAGCAGAGATTCATTGAAAAATTGAACGGAATGCCAATCCAACAGATGAAATGAGGACCGCGTAATGTAACGATTTATGCAATATAAGAATGAAAGGTTGCGAATTACGATCCATCTCTTTAATCTTACATAACAGAGCAAAAATTTTATTTGTTGAGTAATAATAGACCCTACCAAAGAATGAAAATTTATTAAGATTGAAAGTAATGAAACTACATAGGTAACGCAAAGATGGAGATAGAAAAAAAGCCTACAAAGAATATCCAAGCAGTTATAAGAAAAAATTCTCGAAATTATTATAAAAATTTGTAGAACCATAGCATATGTTTTTCATTTTATGCTCATTTTTTTCCCTCTTTATCATATTATATTCATTTTCGTTAAAACACTTGGAACAAAAAAAGATGCAGGAAGAAATTAAAACAAACAGCATTCCAGGAAACAATGTATTTGTAATGCTTTGAACTTGTATTTACAATCCACATTTTATAACTGCCAATTATAATAGATCATTTCTTTTTTTTTCACTATAACAAAGAAAACAACAAAAATTAATGGATATACACACCATAGTGTACTGGTACTAAAAATGCGGGAGAGATTTGTTATTTTATTTTCAATGTTTTTTTATTTATTTCTTAATTATAGTAATCTTGCAAAATCGCTTTTTGTCAAAAATATCTAATTCGGTATCATAATGTTTCAGTAGGAAAGAATGATTAAATTCATATCAGAAACCGATTAAATTTTATGACTCTTTGAACTTCTCACCCTTGCCTATTTTTCATCTAATGAAATAACCAATCCACTGATGAAAACCCAATTGCAAGTGTACCAAACACACACTTCATATGACGAAAACTTTTCTATTTGTATGAGACTTCGAAATAATATTGAAGATTTCACTCCTCGGCACCTTCATCATTCACTTCTTGTTGCTGAACCATTTGTTGGGCATGTGGTGGCGGTACTCCCAACTGCATCATTCCACTGTTTGGAACACCTTCAACAGTTCCCATCATTGGCATTTTCATGGATGTTATCGTTTGCACTGGTGTTCCCTTGTAGTTTCGCATCTCCTACAAATTGAAATTCACAGACTAAAATCAATGTAACGACTTAAATACGTTCAAATCAGTCACATTTTTGTCGATCATCAAAAATCCATCCAAACAAATTTCTGTAATTTTTATTTTATCGCAGCAAGAAAGACACAAGCAGTACGATTAGGCGACAGGTTATCTAATGACTGAACAAATGATACGACTTGCAAAAGCCTTCCAAAATTTCCATTTCTCATTTGACTCTTAATAATACCTCAGCATATCGTTCTTTATCTTCCAGTGCTTTTCGTTCGTATACAGCTCGTTCTTCTTCACCCAGCGCTTTCCAGAATCGACCCAACTCCTGAGCTACCTGCCCAACTTTCCATTCAGGATGTTGTTGTTGCACCTCAGGCCGCTTGTCATGAGAGAAGAAAAAGAAGGCGGATCTGAAATGCACAATTAAGTCAATTAGATTCCGTTTTACATCTTAAAATTTAAATTTACGATTGAATGGAAGATTAAATATCATCTTACAAGGCTCGTTTCGGCGCATTCGGATCTTTCTTGACACGTTTTCGTTTACGTAACGCATCTTCTCCACCGTATGCAGCAACCTCAGCTTGATAGCGTTCTGCATCTTTTTGTGCCAACTCAAAGAACCTCCGTTTTTCATCATCAGACATAGTCTGCAATTAGAACAGTAAATATCGATGAGACATTGCAAATATGAACGACATTCTTTATTTAGACAACCTCATATTAAAAAATGACAAAATTTTATGTCTAAACCCTTTGTGCAGAAATGCTTTGTACTGTTAAACTGAGAATCTTCAATGCTTCTTTAAATTCGGAAAAATTTTTAAAAGATCAAACATCTTTACAGTAGAAATTCCACATTAGCAAGATCAAATTGATAGCAATTCGACTGAGACAATCTCAAATAATCCTGGGTAAATTAACATCCATGTCTACTGCTTAGATTGACATAATTAAATATGCAAGCGCTTCATTCCTCAAGGTTTATGCTTCATCGAAGAAAATGTTACCCATTTTTGCTATCCTTACCCTGAGGTATTCAAGCAATGTTCTAAAGAGGATTACCTTCCACTTTTCTGAGCACTTTTTGCTTATTTCAGTCACTTGAACATTTTCATTCGGATATTTCTTCTTATGTTCTTCATAACACATTTTCACAAAGAATCCATACGGTGACGTCTTGCCACGTACTGGCGGCTTCGCCGATTCTCGCATTCTACTTTGACCAAAAATGATTGCCTACAAAAAATATCGAAAACTTGAAATTTTTTTTAACAAATAAAATGAAAATGGATCTGAGAAAGAGAGAGAGAAAGAGAGAGAAAGAGAGAGAGAGAGAGAGAAAGAGAGAGAGAGAGAGAGAGAGAGAGAGAGCTCTCCGTTCAGCGTTACACGAATACCGCAATAATTTGAATAGGAATGAAATTAGCACTAAGCCATTCTGAAGAACAGGAAAGATTGGTGTATGTAACAGAAAATTTCCATTCCAGATTTGCATAATATAAACAGAAATGTATCTCAAATAAATTTCCCCTCTCCATTATGGTTGAAAGTGTATGAAAATTCGATCTATTTCATTAATCTTACTTTTTGCTAGAATGTCTTGTGTCCTATTAATTTACATTTTTTTCAGAAGCAAAACATTTAGATTAGTTCCTAATTAGTATTACCAAACATAAACGATTTTGTCGCAGTTTTGCCTTCCATCCATTGTTAAGGTGTAATAATGTATAGGAATCAAAGGTCAACCACTAAGAACATTCTGACACTTCTGTGAAGTCACTAACATTGCAGAAGATAAGTCTCAGAAGGTACGAGCGAGCTAATTATTAACTTGCTGGTTAAATTTTTAAATTGCTGAACAGTATCGATTCAAGGGTTTTGAAGGACTTCGTTTTTTTTTAATTATCAATATTTCGCAATGACCTCCAAACAAATACTTCTTGGCCATAAAGGATTAAAAAAGGAAAGCTAAAAAAGAGTGAATGTTTCAATTGAAATTTGATTCCGATTAAATGGAACTGGCCTCTACCCAATTTCACTTGAGATTAAACAAAACTAAACAGGTCTTTCTGATGTCCAACTTCCTAAATTAATTCATGTCCCGATACCTTCTCTCTTCAGCAACTTAGCAAAATTGAAATTAATGTTCTCTTTTTGAGTATCACTCTTCTTTTTTTTTCTTGCAAATTCATTCCTACACGTTGAAATTAGCTAAATTCAGAGTTTCAAAATTTCTAAAATCTAACACAAATTTTGCAGCAATTTTAAAATCAAGCAAGCACTGATGATGCTATTCAGTGAAGATTGATGTTAAATTTGTGGTACTCGTTTCTTGAATTCAAGCGCTGGAAAGAGACATATAGCCGATACACTCGCAAATGACATCAATTTCAAATCCATTAATGATGAATTTAAATTTCAAGGTCCCGAAAGAAATAAGAAAAGAATTATTTGAAATGCTGGCCATTAACCGAATTGAACTTAAATGAATGATACAAATTTTTAGGTTTCAGTCCGGAAAAGTGGAGCCGTTCGTTGCATCAATTTCACTGTCAGTCCATTTTTCGACTGCCACAAATCAAGCCGACATAACCTATCTATGAAAAATGGGAGGAATCAACTGAACCTTGACCTCAGCGAGTTCCAGCGAGAAAAAGTACCCTTCTTTGATTACATGCAAATTTCAATCTTATCAGATTTCAAATAGCGCTATAATCACATCAATGACAGTAATATTAATAGTGCTTTGTTGATAGAATGTTTTGATTTCTGAATTTTATATTATCTCTACGGAAAAGCAATGTTTTTATCGTCGTGCAGTTCTTCATGCTTGCATCAACAGTTGGGATAAGGACTCCCTCCCATTCTCGATTTATTCCAGAAGCTCTCAGTAAAGATGTGGAGCAGTCTTCAATTAATATCTCAAATGGAACTAAGCAAAGTAAATCTGATATAAAAGTAAAGAAAGATTCGGAAAAGTTTGTAGATCGGTCCGAAAAGCTCATTTTTGACTAATAATGACAGCTATCGGGCAATAAGAAGTGAGTAAATGAAATGGGAAAATACTTGCGGATAATGAACCTTTCCGCCAACTTCTAGAAACACCACAAAATTTCAACATTAAATAGAAATATGGGTCACAAATGATATTAATTTAATGGAAGCTTCAAAAAAACGATAATCTCACGTAGGATTTAGCATTTTAGAATGCATTTCGGAAATTGTAGTAGGACATTAAACGTAGTGGGCTAAGGTCACCATCCGATCAACAGGTAATCGGGTCTTATTGATATCAGTAGTACCGTTTTAGTGTCACATCCAAATTCAAACGTATAGGCGGAATGAACATATGAATGAAAATTCTCAATTTCAAGTCTTCCTGGTATAACTTTCATGAGGCCTAGCCGGACTTATGCCTGACCTTTCTATGACCTCATTTGGTACATCACACGTTATAATAAATATACAAAATCATCATTGTAATGATGAAAGATAGGTGGAAGAGAGTGACGAAATAGTATGGCGAACGAGGAGAAGAAGCGAATGCATGGTGGGAGAACGCAGAGGTGTGGCTCTGCCAACGAAGGCCGTGTCTGCCCGCGATGCTCCCAATCCACAACATACACACAATGGGTGTGCTTTCTGTCTATGCATATATGTGTGTGTGTATGTATGTATGTGAGTGTACATGTTCGTCTGCGTCTGTATGCATGTGAGTGTACATATTTGTATACTCGTATGTGTGTGTATGTGAGTATATGTATATGTGTGTATGTTCGTGTGTGTTTGTGTGTATGTGTGTGTGTGTATGCTCGAGAATGTGTCTGTGCCCCCGGCTGCCCTTTCCTCCCCCTACGCAATGGCGGATCGATACAGCGAGCGCACGCGGACAATCTTACGCTGCGTACCGATGACTTCCACAGTTTAAATTGCCGCTCATTTGCTGATGCTATGCTTCTCTGTGAAATTGAATACTTCTCATCAGCTCCGTCTTACGCCTTACGTGTGGCGGGCATTCTGTCCGGTTGTAACAGATAATTGCTTACTATGTCAGGAAATAAGAAACCTAAGTATTTCCTAGCAAACCATCATTGATCGGAGGCAGTTACTTATCACATGATTGTTGATTCAATCTTTCTGATTTATTTCATATTCTCAGGTAATGAAATGTAATAAAATTCATTTGAAGGAGCATATGATGACTAACGAAAAAGAACTGAGACGAGAATATCCCCTGCATTGGGTTGTGTTCCGGAATGATTATGAGAATTTAATGGAATTGCTGGAGGAAGGACATACGAATGAGATGCTTGACAAGCTCGATGTGAGAGGTCAGTAAGTCATCAGCTGTCATATCATTCATTCATTAATTCAGTCTACGTTTCAAACATCGAATTCAAAAATTATTAGATAAATTACTTAAGTGAGGCCTTTTGATGATTCCACCAAAACGGATTTTTTTTTCAGATGATTACATCCTTAGATCAGTGAGCTTCAATGAATGCAGTGGATTTATCCATCTGTGTGTAACATCAGGAACTACTTAAACCTGTTTCATTTTTCAGGCCGTACACCTTTGATGTTAGCCATTACCCTTGGCCATTATGAATGTGCTCGAGCTCTACTAGAAAAAGGAGCGAACGCAGCTATCCAAAATGCAGGTACATTAATCATCTGTTTACAGGTTGGCTCACTTTTGCTTCACATCTAAAACAAGGAAAGGGTCGAAAAAGACTTTGCTCACTTAAGGATCGATGTGCCATTAAAAACGGATTTTCTGGCACCTCCTATTCGTACAACTGCGAACTCATTGATTCCACGTCCTTCACTTATGCAGATATGTGGTCGCCTAGTCATGAAGCTATTTGTGCGGGGAATAGTGACCTTTTGCGATTAATCATCCAGTATCGAGATTATCAACGAGCTCTGCAAACAAGTTCTGCTATGGGACGTTTACTTACTCTGTTGAAGGTGTGTAATTTTTGTAATCAGCGGGAAATAATTTAGCATTGGCACAGGAAAGAGAGCATTGTACTTATATATTTTTCATATATTAATATCGATTAATAATTCCTGACTGATGTAATCTAAGCAGTAGGCACAACAAATAGTTTTGCACTTCAAGCGTCCATTTTCACTGTGTTAGCGTATTTTTATTTTATAGAAACATATACAGCTTAATTGCTAAAACTAAGTTGTAACATTCTTATAAGTGTCACATTTATTAACAGGAAGCTCTTTTCAGATTTAATTGACTGAAATAAGTTGTAGTATGCTTACTTTCAGGAAACAAGCGATTTTTATGCAGAAATGAGTTGGGAGTTTACTAGTTGGTTACCATTTGTTAGCAAAATATGTCCTTCTGATACGTACAAGGTCTCTTTATTCATATTTCAAAACAGAAGTAGTGCATGCTTGATGGGGAGTTATATTAAAGCTGATTTTAATTTTATAAAAAATTTGAAATGTTTCATGTTAAAAAAGGTAAGATGGAAGTGAATATTTTATGTCCGAATTTATCATTCTTCTAGTCATTCATTTGCGATTATTAATAATGTAGTATTTGCTATTCTATCAGGTTTCACTCGTTGCTTACCAATTAAAGTTGAATGTCTACTTTAAAACCTGCTTGTACAAGAATGTTTTTGTCTATTCAAAAAATATTCTGCAACTAATGAAGCAGCTATTTAATGAAATTCTAGAAAGGTTTAATATGAACTTACTTGTCAGCAAGTTTTTTCAGTTTATTTGTTTTTACCATGCCTTAACAGTAGCTCTGCAGATTTACAAGCGGGGTTCAAATGTTCGCATTGACACAACATTAGTTGGTTTTGATATAACATCGAATTGGAAACGCGGCAATCAGTCCTTCATATTTCGTTTTTCTGATAACTGTCAAGCGCAGTTGATTGTCCTGGATCATGATAGTAAAACGGTAGATTCTTTGCTTCTTTATTTATTTCGAAATGAAAAAAATCAGGTTTTATTCACTTTTAGAGATCGAAAATTTTGTCTGTATAAATTTAGTTATCAAATTTTTATAAATTTGTTAAATGCGTTTCAAATAAGACAATCCATTATATTATAATACAAAATTAAATAG